ACAGAGAAATTCCGGTGTGACGTCAGTTTTAAGTGTACAAAGTCGGGATAAGACATAAATATATATATATTGAATAGGTAAAAAATTAAGAATAGAGTTTAGTGGTGTCTTTTATACAGTAAAGTGAGGCATGATCTGATGGAGTGCAAATAAAGCATTGTGATAAAGTGCAAAGAGTGCGGTTGCAGATTTGGTAAATAATAAATAAACACAGGCTCTTATTTTACAGGGTTATTGCACAGTAGTTATTACACAAGGTTATTTCACTGTGGTATTGTAAAGTCTGATGGCAGCAGTGATGAATGACCTGTGGTAGCGCTCCTTATTACACACTGGGTGTGCATAGGCACTAAAGGTGCTGCTCAGCTCCTCTACAGTCTGCTGCAGGGGATTAAAGGTGCTTTACATGATGGATGTGAGCTTGGCCAACACCCTCTTCTCATCCACCTCCTTCACAGAGTCCAGAGCGCAGCTCAGGATGGAAGTTTCCCTCCTGATCTGCTTGTTCTGTCTCTTCCTGTCCGCTCTGCATGGCCCCGGGCCCCAGCAGAGCCGAGGCTGAGTGCTTAATCACCATTCAGTTGTTGTTGTTGGGTTGATCTACATTTTATTTGAAGCATCCACCACTAGTTGTAACAACAGATATGCAATACAGTCAAAATACCTTAAGCTGTTTATTTTTAGTAAAAAGAAATAAAACATTGTCCTACTGCATTGCAATGCTTGCGCTGTAATGTATTCTGGATAAATTATGCACGCCAGGTCATGTAGCACTAGCTCCATTCAGCCAAAACAGCAAAGATAAAACTTAAATGTGACTCTATATAAAATGAGATGATGAAAAACTGGAAAAACTCTGTGGAGATGAGATGATTTGAGCTGCTCTGAGGGGCCCGTTTTCATCATTCTGATTTATTCTATCTCTTTTATCCGATTCTGCAGTATTTGTTGTTTCAATCTCTAACGTTATGCTCTCTCTGCTTTTTTTATAGTTGCTCATCTGGTCTGTTCCTTTTTGGCTGTGTCACCAGCCATTGTTTATATAGGGTGACCATATTTTCATTTGGGAAAACCAGGACACCTTGGAGCGGGGGGTGTCTCTGTCTGTGGCATGCACTCACTTAACATAGGCCTATTTAATCCCACATTAACATATTTACAGTTGATTTATTAAAAATGCTTTTCAGTAAAAAATCAAGAACAATAAATACAATAACAAATTATAATTTTATTCAAAATGTATTTATTAAAAAATGCTTAACAATTCCTGTAATGAATGAATAGCACAATAAAATAATGTCTCATCTAAACATACCTCACTTAACAATAAAAGCTAACAATAACTCTCAACTCCCAATAACAGATGATACTCAGCCTCAGTAATGAACGAAATAATGTCTGTTCTGTAGGAAAAAATTGGAAATTGGAAAAAATAAATTAACAAATGAGCTAATTAACAAAAAATACCTCTTGTGTAGCAAAAACGTACCAAAATGTACAAACATATCAATAGACTATCTTTACTTTCGGAGTCCAGGTGGCTTTTCAGATCCTTTGCACTTCCATTGGACACTGAGACATATGTGCCTGCTTTGCACACTGTGCACAAGGCCTCCCATTTGTCTCAAACCACTCTGAAAGCGGGGAAACTCTTTTCTAAATCGTCGGTTAACATACATTTGCGCTTTTGCATGTTGTTGGCGTACTGACAGCCACGCTATCTATCTTCTGATTAAGAACAGGGCTGCCCGCACTGACGCGGCTCAGGGATTACGTCACACGCAGCACCATGCGCAGTGCCCTAGTGCCTGTAAATGTAATGGTCCAATGAAGGTAATTTAAAAAGCAAGACATTTCCTCACTTTCTAAAAAAAACCCGGGACGCCCGGGACAGGACATGAAATACGGACATGTCCTGGGAAATACAGACGTTTGGTCACCCTAGTTTAAAGATGTCTGAGATCGTCCTGTTTTTCCAGTGTAGTCCTGTTTCTCTGACTGTGACTAACTGGATGTGTTCTCTTTTATCCTCTGACATGGGAGCTGGCTCGGAGCTCGTCTGCCTGGCTGTGTGTTTCCTGGATGGGGCCGCCTTTTACAGCTGCTTTTTGTGTCTCTGCTTCTGTCTCCTTGAACCCCAGTCGGCCTCAGCAGATGGCCGCTCACACTGAGCCTGGTTCTGCTNGATGGGCGGTAATGAGCAACCGGGCAGAGTTAGACAGGTGAATGCAATGAAAAATTAGGCCAGTCATCAGCGTGGCTTTTTTAACTTTATTTTTAAAGATTTTTCACAGGTATACAACAAAAACATGACAATGATTAATGTCCTTTAGTGAATCCTTTAGCATTTGTCACACAAAAAAAGCATTAGACAAAAAATAAATAATATTATATAAAAATTATTTGTTCATTTACACTTTGGACATACTAAAAGTTTAAAAAAAAGTTTAAAAAAAGACACTTTATGGAGTTTCAACCAGTCAATCAGAAGTGTCCACACCTTTATTCATAGCAAATGGGGTAAAGTAGAACAAAATAAAAGAGGGGGAGATGGGGGTTCTTTATGGCTTCAGTTGTTCTAAAATGGGTTTCCAAATTTTGTAATATTTTTGAGGACAGTTTATTAAATCAAATCTAATTTTTTCTATGTGCAAGATTCCTGTAAATTCCTTGATCGAAGATTCAAAATTAGGTGGTCTGTCAGCCTTCCACTGCTTCAATATGCATCTTTTGGCAATCATCATGCCATAGGAGACCACTGTTGTTACATCACGACACAATTTATTAAGAGTGTCCGAGACACCAAAGAGGGCCGTTTCTGGGTCAGGTTTTATGTTAACTTTAAGGGTGCTAGAGTACCATTTAAATATTGAGGTCCAGAAACTTTAAGATCATGGCAATTGGTCCAAATAAGGTCTGTTTATCTTCAGAGGGTCCTGGTGAGGTAACATAACAAGTACATTTAAATATTGTGCTAATTAAAAATGTATTTAAGATACTATATCACTTTATTGATCTAACAACAGAGAAATTCCGGTGTGACGTCAGTTCTAAGTGTACAAAGTCGGGATAAGACATAAATATATATATATTGACAAGGTAAAGAATTAAGAATAGAGATTAGTGGTGTCTTTTACACAGTAAAGCGAGGCATGATCTGATGGAGTGCAAATAAAGCATTGTGATAAAGTGCAAAGAGTGCGGTTGCAGATTTGGTAAATAATAAATAAACACAGGCTCTTATTTTACAGGGTTATTGCACAGTAGTTATTACACAAGGTTATTTCACTGTGGTATTGTGGCTGCAGTGATGAATGACCTGCGGTAGCGCTCCTTATTACACACTGGGTGTGCATAGGCACTAAAGGTGCTGCTCAGCTCCTCTACAGTCTGCTGCAGGGGATTAAAGGTGCTTTACATGATGGATGTGAGCTTGGCCAACACCCTCTTCTCATCCACCTCCTTCACAGAGTCCAGAGCGCAGCTCAGGATGGAAGTTTCCCTCCTGATCTGCTTGTTCTGTCTCTTCCTGTCCGCTCTGCATGGCCCCGGGCCCCAGCAGAGCCGAGGCTGAGTGCTTAATCACCATTCAGTTGTTGTTGTTGGGTTGATCTACATTTTATTTAAAGCATCCACCACTAGTTGTAACAACAGATATGCAATACAGTCAAAATACCTTAAGCTGTTTATTTTTAGTAAATAGAAATAAAACATTGTCCTACTGCATTGCAATGCTTGCGCTGTAATGCATTCTGGATAAATTATGCATGCCAGGTCATGTAGCACTAGCTCCATTCAGCCAAAACAGCAAAGATAAAACTTAAATGTGACTCTATATAAAATGAGATGATGAAAAACTGGAAAAACTCTGTGGAGATGAGATGATTTGAGCTGCTCTGAGGGGCCCGTTTTCATCATTCTGATTCATTCTATCTCTTTTATCCGATTCTGCAGTATTTGTTGGTTCAATCTCTAACGTTATGCTCTTTCTGGTTTTTTTCATAGTAGCTCATCTGGTCTGTTCCTGTTTGGCTGTGTCACCAGCCATTGTTTATAGATGTCTGAGATCGTCCTGTTTTTCCAGTGAAATCCTGTTTCTCTGACTGTGACTAACTGGATGTGTTCTCTTTTATCCTCTGACATGGGAGCTGGCTCAGAGCTCGTCTACCTGGCTGTGTGTTTCCTGGACAGGGCTGCCTTTTACAGCTGCCTTTTGTATCTCTGCTTCTGTCTCCTTGAACCCCAGTCAGCCTCAGCAGATGGCCGCTCACACTGAGCCTGGTTCTGCTGGAGGTTTCTTCCTGTTAAAAGGGAGTTTTTCCTCTCCACTGTTGCAATGAGCATGCTTAGTGTGAGGGATTGCCAAAGAGTCAAACAGTTGATGCAATCAACTGGTTTTCCTAAGATAGAAAACATTAAATCAATCCGACTGTATGATCTGGTGAACTATAAAGTGCCTTGAGATGACACGTGTTGTGAATTGGCACTATAGAAATAAACTGAATTATAAGTTTTCTCCTTTAGTGCTTCTGTGAACTAAAATAATAGTGGATCTAAATGGATTCATACAAAAAAAAAATAGCTTCAATTTCTATTTATCAAAGAAGGTCATTTATCATTTATGGGGCTTTTTCTAACAAATGCTTTATGACTAGTAAGACAATGACTAATATGTATGTAACGAGGGCCACACATATTGAATAAAAGCACAATTTGAAGAGGTTTTCTTTAATTCTGCAGAGTGAGCAGAGCTGATAAATGTTAGAGTGGTATTAATAAGATATTAGGGAGGAGGACAAGAGGAAGATGGCTGGTGGATGATGACAGATATTTAAAAACTGATAGTTGTTGACATTCTTAAGACTCATCACCTGTATCAATATTCATTATGAACGCATTATCTGTACCGTTTGACACAGCCATTTATTATTACGAGCTCACAGGAATAATAAATCTATAATAAGACAACCCCAGTTTAAAAATAAAAATTTTATTGTGCAATTGTTTTATAGGTCCACTGAAAAACATGTCTTGTAGCAAACCAACATGGAAAAAATGGACGAACTCCATGCACAAGAATCATTGCTGCCGCGGAATGAGACGGAGAATCGAACGTGGAATGTCTGCGTGCTGCTTTAGCTCCCACTGGGTGAAATGCTGCTGAGGAAAATTTAAGCCTTTCAGAAAAGAAACACATAAAAGGCTCCTGGGTTCAAGTAAACAATGATTTCCTTCAAGTTGGAAGAGGTTTGGCCCGAATTTACAATAAAAAACAGGAAATGTTCTTAAAGGTAAAAAAAAATATGAATAAATAACATTTAAACAAATATGGAAAAAAAAATAGAAGTGAATGTGATTTTTGTTAGTGAATGTCTTGTTAAATGTGTCTTCACATCTTAACCTCTAAATCTCTTCTTCTGAGTGATAGAACGAGTTCATGTTGTTGTTTTTCTGTGACTATAAAAGTAAATGACTTTACAAATCTGTGCTTTACTACAAAATATACTCCAAAAGTTACAATAGTTTCCCAACATATAAAAAAAAACATATCCCAGAGTAAAGGTCAGGTGTACGTATAAAAACATGTTGAAAGTTCAATGTACAGATGAGAGATTATGGCACGGCAAATATTCAGAGGACAATCGGTGCTGTTGGTGACGCTGGAGACGGCGAGGACGGGCGCTGCTATATGTGGGCAGAGGTGCGGAGGATGTGGAATCTCTTCAGAGTCATTCGGATGGATCCCAGCTCCCGGTTCAGCCTCTCCAGACGTTTCTCTAAGGCCACCTGGAGAAGGAAGGAAGCAGGTTAGAGTCTGCTATACAGCAGAGAGTAAAACAACATACATCTATGCAGGGTTTTAGTTTCTCTTTTGTTGCGAGCGAATTAACTTGTTATGTAAATGGAGGTTTGATAACAAATTTGAAGTTTTTTATGAATTTTCCAGCCATCCATCCATTTTCAAACATGCTTAATCACAAGTAGGGTCACGAGGGGTGCTTGTGCCTATCTCCAGCTGTCTACGGGTGAGAGGCGGGGTCCACCCTGAACAGGTCGCCAGTCCATCGCAGGGCAACACAGAGACAAACAGGACAAACAACCATTCATTCACACTCACACCTAAGGAGAGTTTAGAGAAGCCAATTAACCTAACAGTCATGTTTTGGACTTTGGGAGGGAGCCGGGGTACCCGGAGAGAACCCACACTTGCTCAGGGAGAACATGCCAACTCCATGCAGAAAGACCCCGGGCTGGGAATCAAACTCAGAAAGCTTCTTGCTGCAAGGCAGCAGTGCTACCTGCTGCCCCACTGTGCAGCCTCATGATTATTCCTTTCAAATTTTTTTTTTTTTTTCTCTTAATTAATACATTTTTTTTTTTTACAAATTTTATATAAAAATACATTTAAATTTTTTTTTTTCAAAAAAAAAGTACATTTTTTATATTTTGAAGTTTAGCTTTTTTTTTAATGCTTTTCTTTTACACTTTTTTTTATATATTTTTTTATTGTTTTTTTTATTAAACATTCTGTTTTTTCAAACTGTGTTTCACAGATCCCATTCTCTTCATTAAACCCCGACACAGAAGGTCACACATTGACCAATAAAATGCCGTTGACATTCATGCAGACACTACAAAAAATGTTAATCTAAGTAAGTAAATTTTTCTTAAAATAATTGCCTTTTTTCTTGAATTAAACAGGTGAAACTTTTTGCCCAACGATTTACATTTGAAATAGTAAAAAAACAACTGAAGTATCTTATTTCAAGTTTATGATATCTAATTATGTTATTTTAAGTGTAAAAATACTAATTTCATTGGCAGATCATCTTATATACCAACTCAAATTAAAGTTAAACACACTTATTTTAAGACATTTCTACTTATTTTTAGCTAGTTTTTGCAGGGAATAAAAATACTTCCACCCCCAAGGGGGTTGGTTAAACTCAATCTAAAAAAAATGCAACTTGTAAATCTCAACATGAAGAAAGAAGAAAATAAATAAATAAATTGAAAATATAATATCTGGGAAAAAATTAGAAAAAAAAACACAATGTACGTACATACACATGTAATAATATATATATAAATATATATAAATGTAAACCCTAATAAACTGATTTATGACCAGTTTATGACAAGTTTCCTCCGGTTTGCTGCTATTTTACCTCATCTAATCGGGTCTGGAGGCTCACTCTGCCACCGGCCGCAGGGATTCTGCTCAAAGCCGCCTCAATCTGAACACATATGCAACAAAGAGAAAGATAAAGCAGTCAACATCGTGGGGCTCATTAGATCAGAACAAAGAGCAGAGGACAGACTGAATTAAAATCCCTGTAAAGCTGTTATAAAACCAGCAGATTGAGGATTAGGAAGATGGAAACTGGATCCTTCTGACATAAAGATGGGAAGGAATTACTTAGTGACAGATTCATTTAAACACACCTGCTGTTTCTCCTGCGTCAGCTCATCAAACAGTCTCTCTGCTTCAGCCAGCGACTGCGGTCTGTCCAGGCTCAGCAGAGCCAGGTCCTCTGAGGAGTCCTGCTGGTCGGGGCCGCTCCGGTCCGGCTGCTCCTCCCAGCCCAGCTGGGGGGTTCTGTCCGGTGGCTCCGCTGGACCTGAGTCCTCTGGCACCTGTCGGTCTGAGAGAACGGAAGAGGACATCGTTATTAATGAACTCATCCCTCTGTGTCAGGAAAAGTTACAGACGTAAACAAATGATAGAATAGAAAAGATTAGAAAATCCCTTTTTTGTCCCACAACGGGGAAATTATGGATTAAGGTGATAGAGATTAGGATAAGCTCTGTAAAGATTTTGAGATGAAAAAAATATTTTTAGAGAACACACAGCAGGACAGGGTGGTTCTCCACGTTATTCATACTCTTCTTTCTCAAACAGGCCTACAAACATGCTTTATACAAATTTGCCAGCTTATATCTAGTACCTGGTTGCTAGGGGTGTGGAAAACAAATTGTTTTAGCAATATATCGTGATTTTTAGCTGCCTGATATAATATCAATGTTTTAGTTCCTATCATTGATTGTTTCTAAAGTAGAACACGTTTACCTAAAACTGAGCGAAAATGGGCTACCTTTGCACCGCCACTCTGGTAGATGGCGCTGTGGTGCCCTATTGCTGTGCGGCGCAGTGCTATATCTGTAATTGGGGCAGTCACAGCGGAAGATGTGGACTGACTCAAACCGAGAGCAACAAGAATGAACGAATTAAATATCTGATGAACATATACAGAGGTAGCAGAAAAATATCGCAATATATGGTGATATTGCAATATAGTGATAATGTCGTATTGTGACTCAAGTATTGTGACATGTAATGTATCGCAAAACCCATGCCAATACTTACCCCCACTGGGGATATTCTCTATCTCTTTGTCTCCTCTATCACTTTTTCTCTCTCAACATAAGTCAAGTAGCTGTTGCTGAACTGGAGAGCTCCTTCAGTGACAGACTGCTGCACCTTAAATGCACCAGGGAGCGTTATCACAGATCCTTCCTCCCAGCAGCTGGAAAACTTTATAACCATCACTGTTCCCTCAATAACTTGTCACATTCATTATGATTTTGCAGTTTCTATCTTAGTCAGTGTGGAAGCATATTTTTCATTGGCTTATTTATGAGAACAATATTTTGAGTGTGCCTTTTATCTGCCTAAATAGGGGTGATTGTTTAGAAGTATTGTACCAGTCTGTATGCGGGAATTAAGTTATGGAGTTAAGATTGGGGATGACTCTACTACTCCTCCCTACTCTAGACAAGGGTGAAGCAAGGGTCATGAGAGATAAGAATAAGTTCACACAGCCTCATTCATGCCGTGAGCGGGAGACCTGTTCTGAGTGTTTACCTGGCTAAATTTTATGTCCTTGATTAATTGAAGTGTTTTTTTTTCTTGGGAATAACCAAATGTTCACGAGTGAGAAAGTTCTTTATGTAGGGGTGGAATAGTTCCAAGGAAGAGAGTGTTTGTAGTGGCAGTTGATGTGTAAAAGTCTGCACTCAGCTTTGCTCAGTCAGAGCTCTATCTCTCCATCTGAGGACGTTAGGTACATTTGAAACCTTTTTCTAGCAAGAAATGGCTCTGTCTCAGCTTCCTAAATCCACATCAGTTAAATAACATGCTGCACATCTCTGATGTTGCTGCTATTTTCAAATATTACTGTAAAAATGTCCATAGCTGTATATTGATTATTTATTCTCCAGGTGCACAGTTTTATATTGTTGAAACACTTTACAGTACAGTATTTATTTTTTCTATTTTTAACTCTTCACTATTATGTTATTCTTATACATTTTTCTAAGGTCCACATTTGTGTGACAATTTTTTCTGTAATCTTTTTGCTGCTGTAACAGCAGAATTTCCCCATTGTGGGACAATAAAGGGTTGTTTCTATTATTTTCTTCTATTAGGTATTCTGTAAATGTCTAATAACATTGCACCAAAATAAAGGCTTTTTATAGTTTAGAATTAGTAGTTTATAAATACTGAACATAAGGTGCGGTGCATCCAACGGGAGACGCCATGTTGAGTTGCTATTTTGATCAGAGTAGCTGAAAGGGGACAAACTTCTCAACCTTTCATGTTTATCCAGAATCTGAAAACATGTTGTTGTTGGGAGAGGAGTTTAACCCTTTATAGGGCAAGTTACCTTTTTGTTTTATCACTTAAAAGCCTCTTCAGAAACCAGGTCCTGAGTGAAAGCTGGTGGTTAACGGGTTTGCCTAAATAAAATATTTAAACACGACTTTTATATCACTGCAAAAATGATGCACAGGGAGGTGATGAAGAAAGGTGCCTGGAACACGTTATTGTTCTCATGCTGGTTTGTTTCATTCTTTCTCAGATCTCATGTACGGGGGCTGTTAGTATCACAGGTTGTTTGCATTACAGCAGTGACTGTTAGCAAAGGGGAGTGAATACAAGCTTGCAGAGGGGAGGGGGGCTTCAGGAAAATCTGACATTCCTGGGATTAGCAGCGTTAACATGACAGTTTCAAGGTTTTAATGTAGAAAAAGCATAGCAGTGTTCAATAATGTAAGGAGAAAATGTCTTTTTCTTAGAGTCTTTTTATTTCTGAGAGGGTTGGATCAATTTTTAACATTGTCTGAGCTTCTCTGTGATACCTTTATCTTCCAGTGATGTAAACTGGAGTCTCTTCCTGGAGCCGCCGCTGTGGAATGAATGACGTCTCTTGTCGACGTTTCTGTCGGGCCTGTGGTTAGGTGTAAAAATCAGCTTTAATATAAGAAACAACTACAGCTAATGTGTGTTTTCCCCTCTCTCTGTTAAAGGTGGGTTTTTGCTCTCTCACCTTTGGAGAAGGTGCTCCTCTCTGGGCATCATGTGGCCGAAAGCAGTGGAGTAGTTCTCAGAGGGGCAGCGTTTAGGGCTGGACTTGGCAGACAGTGGCATGAGTAACGTTTCCCTCTTGGCTGCATAGGGAGGAAAAAGATGATTGAAGTCAGCATTTAACGTATAAGCTAATGTTTGCCATGATAACCTTGTGCTAACAGGCTTAGCTGGTATCTACAGTTAGATCGTTAAGGAGCGTAGATATTTTTATTAGCCTTTAAGACGCATCAGATTCGGCTAAAACTTACTTGCTGTAGCTGCAGGTCCATTTCTGTGTGCAGCAGGTGGCAGTGAGGACGACCTGTGGCCTTCAGGTGACAGACTTCTCTGAGCTCTCAGCAGGGCTGCAGCCCTCTCAGCTCCGCTGCGACTTCTTGGGCCCCGATTCTCGCCCCCCGTAACAGCTCCTCCAATTTGATTCACCCCGGTCTCGTCCTGAGCCAGCTCGGGTCGCTTGGGGATTGGCTCTTTGTTTTTGCGCTCCACAAACCCAACAGTGGTCCTCTGAAGCCCGACCCCTGCAGACACAGGCCCTTTCTCAATATGTGTACTTGTGCGCTCTGATGCGCTCGTGAACTCGTGAAAAGTAATCAGTTTCAGCCCTAGTACTGTTCCAATTCACAAGAACAGCAGACAGAGAACGGACAAAGTCCGCGGATGTTGTTCTCACCCCTCCCTCTTTACCCAGCATGCATCAGAGCAGACTTGTCTGTTATTGAGATTGACAGCTGTCCCAGCATGCACTGCTGCAGCAGCTTTCAATGGAGCGCTCACAGATCTCAGAGTTAGACGTTAAAAGTTGTCTTTTCTGTTGCCATTTACATTATACTTCACTATATCACTATAAGGCCAATTTACTGATTTAATGCATAATAAAAAAAAAAAACGAAGTTGAGAGGACTGTGGCAAGCAGTGGGTAACGGCAGCCAGGTCTAATCCTAGCCCGTCTGCAGCAGCCCTCTCTCAGCATAGCCATGTGTGAGGGACTGCTGGCTCTGATGAAGAGTTTTTTTGTTTTATTTAGCTAAATGTTCCGTTGATTTGTGTTTATCGGACTTTCTTCATTATTATTCCCCCAATAAATAAAAAAAGGTAAGAATTTATTATTATCTAGAGACTAGGTGAGATGCAGCTCCAGCAGAGCATGTGTGACATCATCAGTATGCTTCTGTTCCAATTGACCCATTTCTATCCCCGATTCCACGCTTTCCTGTGTTCTTCTCAAGAAGGTGGTGAGGACACAAGTCCGTACTGGCGTTCTAATGAATTGAGAACAGGACAGTAATGTCTGAGACAGAGAAACAGACGGAGGAGCTAGCTGCAGCTAGGTCCAGCTAGCTGCAGCTAGTGCCGCTGGCCAGGCACAATAAAAACAACCTGAAACCTCGAAGTCATTTACTGGAAGATCTAAAAATCTTATTGAAGAAAATATTTTTTGTTACATTTTAAGTGAAATTTGGATGCATTTTTTTTTTTTATTTAAATAAAGTCTTACTGCTCCTATAGCAGACAATACAAATAAGCCATTTTGTGTTAAATGTCTATGTGGCCTTTGTGACTTGTTTTTAGCTTAACCAAAGTAAAAATGGCCGACTGATGTACAATTTAGACTGTTGGAACACAAGAACATGCTTGGATCTAAACATCTTCCTTCTGATGAACTCAGAGAAGCATCACCACAGCATGAACCTGCCTCCACCATGTACTGCTGTTGAGTGTTAGCTTTCCAACATGAAGCATTTGTGCATTTAGGTCCAATCCCCCAGCTTGTTTGTAGCAAACTAAACTTTCTTTTCAATTTCACTCATAACTTGTTTGGTGGAGTGAAAAGACAAAACTTGTGTGTCTTTAATTTAAGGTATACAATATAAACTGTCAAGAAGTATTTATGTCCCTAAAACAAGATAATAAGACATGAAGGACTTAAAATATTTTAATGAAGTGGATTTTTTATCATTTGCAAATTGTCTTGCTTGGTTAAATCCAGGGAAAATACCAGGGCTGTAACTAATGATTATTTAGCAAATTGAGTAATCTGTCAGTTATTTTTTTGATTAATTGACTAATAATCGGATAGCCAAAGGTTCCTTAAAGAAGATTTTTTATTAAATTAAACCAGGTGAAAGTAAATCTTTTCCACTTGAGGGGTTCAGGATAGAGCATATTGACAAACAAAAAACTTTTTTTTTAATCTTAAATATAAACATTTTTATTATTATTTTTTTTTACAATTTTACTGTAATTACTGCTCTAAGTGGGTCGCTCTGTCAGCTAAAGAAATGTTATAGAGTCTCTCACTCTCGCACTTTAGTTACCGATTAATCAATTATTAAAATAGTTGACGATTATTTCAATAATCGATTAATCATAGTTAATCAAATTAACTGTTTCAGCCCTAGAAAATACTCCGACTCTTTTATTTTATATAGATTTGATACAACAACCTGATCTGAGGATCTCTGCAGCTCCTCAAAAGTTTTTTTTTTTTTTTTAATGGATGATTATCCCTGAAAAGCTTCTGAATCAATAGAATAACATTTACTCAATCTATTTAGCAATTAGGTAACTTCTAAACTAGTTGCATTAAAGGGATATCAGATTAAATGCTGTTTAATCATCAATACAAGCCACACTTTTCTGGTTTATAATTTTTTAAAAGGTTTGAAAAGATCCTATTGCATAGAACTCTAGTAAAATACCTTGAGGTTTATGGTTGTTCAATTTAAAAAGAGCCTCTATGTCTCCAGCTGTTTGCCAAACAAAGTGAGCGAATTCGATTTCAAAATAAAATCTCGTCTTGTTTTGGCATTGTTCAACCACAAGGTGGCAGTGTTTGCAATATGTGGCAGCTGCTGTGGTTTGTGCATCATTCTACAAATCACATACAGGAGGGAATAGAGGAAAAAAAAAAAGACCAGAAGAAGCAGAAAGGACAAACTTCTACCATCTTCCTCTGTAGCTAATGAAGGCAGTTATTTGTTTTCATTTTGAAAAGAGGACATTTTGAGAAAGACCTTCTTGGAAACAATGGTTGCTTACAAGGGGCGCGGGTCTCTGTGGCTTTAGTTTCTTCCAGCTCTATCAGGGCCCTCATCATGGGCGTCAGGGGGCTGGATCCTTCTCGCCGACCGACCTCCTTCACGCCGCCGCTCAGCTCCTGATGCCTGGTCTGATGCAGGGTTTGCTCGCACTCAGGTGGAGACGCACACCTGCAAAACCAGAAACTCAGTGAGCTGTTCATCCTTATAGAGATTTAAACGATCGGTCCTGACTCTAAAGCCCTACCTCCAGCTGCCGCCGGCTGAAGACCCCTCCACAGAACTCACACTTCCAGACGACTGATCATTTACAGGATAAGAAGATCTCTTGTGAACATTTGATTTTCTGCTGCCATTCAGCTGGTCAGACAGGGAAGAAGGGGATCTCCTTCTGGTGACGTCTGGTTCTACTTTGCCTTTACTGGGTGACAGCAGCAAGTCCGGATGGTGAAAGAGACTGTAGATATTATCAGGAGAATCATTTAGTCATAGCATCAGTGGCTTGAAACAAAAATCATTAACATTAAAGGACAGGATAAAATCTATTACAAGTGTAGGGTCATAATTTTTGTCACGTTACAACTTCAAGTCTGAATGTATCAGTTTTAGATCCCTAATGATGAACCAACCTGAACTAGCGCATAAGAGTCTAAAATAATTTCAATGTTTTTCCTATAAAAAAAAAAAGGTCAGTTAGTTTAGTATCTATTATCAAACACCTGCTAAGGATTTTTTCTTTATTAGATAAGGAAGGTAAAGCAAAAAATAAAGCCAACAACAAATCAATATTTAACCCTATAATGCCAAATGTATCGTATTTGATACATACGGTTTCTGAAATGTTTTGCATCTGA